TGGTGCTGGGCTCTTTGTTTAATCTGGCCGAGCCCGTGTTGACTGTGGCAGCAGCTCTCAGCGTTCAGTCGCCTTTCCTGCGCAGCGCTCAGCATAACCCTGACTGTGCAACTGCTCGCCAGCCCCTGCACAGCAACCAGGGAGACCCCTTTACCCTGCTCAACACCTTCAATGCATGGATGGAGGTCAGTAATGATACCAAAATTTGACACAGGCTATTTAATACAAACAATATTGAAACTGTTATAACTCGATATAAGATTGTCTTCATTTTATTCAACTGCCTCACAGGTAAAGGGAGAGAGAGGTGGCGGCTCCAAGAAGTGGTGCAGAAGGAGAGGTCTGGAGGAGCAGCGATTATATGAGATGGTCAACCTACGCAGACAGTTCAAGGCAGGCTACTGACATAGTTCTCATATTCAAAAAATATATATAAGCTTTTAAGGCATAAAGGTTATTCTAAATATGACCGTCCTCTCTGGTTTACAGGAATTGCTGAGGAGCCATGGTTTGCTGGAATCAGAGCACAGCTCTTCTTCTAGCGGTGACCGTGGGCAACGTAGGGAGAGGCTTACAGAGAGGAGGAAACTGCATCAGATGAAGAGAGATCATGAGCAGCAGGAAAGCAGCAGGCGGAAAGTCTTGAAGCTGAGTGAGGGCCAGGAAGGAGAGTTCTCCTCAGGGTCAGACACAGAGGAGACAGGCAGAGGCAAGAAGGACAAGGAGAGATCGGGACAGAACCTGGACATACAGGTGAGGACAGTGCAGCATAGGAAAAGGTTGCTTCAAAAAGCTTGAAACATCAGCACCAGTTTTAATTAAAAGTTTCAATTAAAAGGCAAGTGCTGACTTTGTGGATCATATTAGTGCAGTAGAGGAAGGTTTTGTGGCTACTGGACGTCAACAACCGAGAAGACCTAAAAACCAAAGTGTTCACTGGAATATTATCTTTGAAGACACTTTGTCTTCATTTATGTTTGAGAGCTACACTCTGAGTGTGACTGTGGTGTTTTGGTCTGCAACAGGAGGTGAAGTTCAAGTTGCGTCACAACGTGTCAGAGCTGCAGGAGGCGGTCAGCATCAGTCAGGACTTGTCCTCCCGACAGCAGTCTTTGCTCAAGCTGCTGCTTTGCCGAGGCCTCTACCCTCAGCTGGCTCTGCCCGATGAACACAACACCACCCGCAAGGACTCAGACCAGGTCAGGCCTCCTGCTGCGTCACACTCAGTTTATATAATCACAAACATGGACTTTTTTTTTTTTTTTTGTAAAATTGTTTCTAATGTGATTTTAAAAGATAATTTAATGTTATATATTTTCACTTCCTTTCCACTTATGATTTTAAATTGTGCAGGTGTTTCATACGAGGAACAAGCAGGGGGTGGTGATCCACCCGACCAGTGTGTTTGCCAGCGACCCGGAGGTGTTACATGTGCCTGAAGATGACACCAGAGAAATAGGTAAACCTTTAAAGAACTGCATGAAGGTAGTTTTTGAAATAATTAATAAATCATTAACCCTTAAAGCCCATTGTCAAGACTATCTGTAACATTTGTTTCTCTGTGGTGGATACCTACATTTTCTTGTTTATTAAAAAAACACTGCTGGGAAAAACAAATCAAATCAAAGAGGCTTTAATTCTCTGAGGTAAAAAATACTATAGACAGCCATAACAACAGCCTGAGAGCGACAACAGAGCCACATATATGCAAGAATTACAAAGTGAGGTTAAGGACATACTCACCTTTAAAAAGAACAAAACACACCTTCAAGCATCACTGGGCAATAGACGAATGTTCCATTATTGAAATCATCCTAACTATTTTAACAATGGTAAGATCAATGTCTCTCTTGAAGACATTTTAACTTTCTTTTGAAATCTGAAAAGATGCTTTATTTGTGGTGATGTCACAGAACTAAAATCAAACAAATATTTTTTTCATGTTGCAAAGACAATATTTCTACCTGCTCATTTTGCTTTTGAATAAACCGTAGTTGCAGTGCAGTTGATAAATGTGTTGGAATCAATGAACAACATTAATTCCTCTGCTTCCTGATCCACTGAAAATATATTCTGTTGTTTCCTTGACTCTTGTTATTGTCTGCTTGTCTTTCATTACATCTCATCTGTCTCCCTCTTTGTCTCTGCTTCCTGCCCGCAGAGCCTGAAAGAAGGGACAGCAGCAAACACCAGCTGCTAGCCTTCGTTACTCTGTTGGAGACCAACAAGCCATATTTGTCCAACTGTGTGCGGGTTCCAGCTCTGCAAGTTAGTACTGTTCCCTCAATTAACCCACTTTTATCCCCTTACGTCCTATTATTAAAGGCCTAATGACGCTCTGCATGATGTTCAAGTTACCAGACATTGTGATCTTTAACATCTAGAATGCAGCTTTTAATTTGATGCGGTTACTAACTAGATTCTAGGAAAAGGATAAAGAGTCTAAATTGTTTCATTGTCTCTCAGTGGGTCTTGTATGGCAATGACTGTAACGTTATCAGTATGTTAATGTAAGGTAAATTTATATTTATCATTTTTGTGTAAAAGTGTAGAGAAAAGAAACAAATTATGACGATTACCTTTGGAAACACGTCTTCCACATTCTGCCCAACTTTACAAATGTAAACATTATGTAAAATCTTAAGGGTGTCACAGAACCACCTGTATGATTTATATAATATACCAAAATTACTGTGTGCAACTTGCATTGCTCCTACCTTGAGTGTTAGCGTTATTCCAGTTGTGGTCCATCAATGCTTCATATTTAAATTTTAATTCTCCAAATGCCTGCATGTGCTCCCCAGGCTCTACTGCTGGTAGCCAACTCTGTGGACAGTAACGCTGACTGCAGTCGTCTGGTGGTCGACGGCTGGCTGGAGCTGGAGCTGAGGGAGCCAGAGGAGGCCCTGAAGGTGCTGTCCACGGCTCTTACCCTCAGGGCCGAGTGGGAGCGCCTCCTTCTGGTCCAGCTGGGACAGAGCAAGATGGGGGAACCGGCCCAGGGCGTGTCCCGCAAAGTCAGGGAAAAGCTGAGTGAAGGCCTTGTCCGTTTCCTGCTCTACACAGAGGTACTGATGCAGTGCTGACCTAGGTGTTACAATAAAGGAAAAAAAAAGTCAAGGGGGCGTCTAGTGGTTATATTGCGCGTTCCATGTACTGAGGCTACAGACCTCATTGCAGCGACCAATTGTGAATGATATCTCACCAGAAAATAACCACGTGGGGATTAAAAGTGAATAAAGAGACAGAGAGTTGCATACTCATCATTTTTTTACATCTTACCTTTTTCTTGCCAGGTCACTTACAGCCTACGGCGACTCGCAGCTTTCCAGATCCAGAACCTGTACATCGGCCCTCGGCCTGGATCCGAGCAGTCTCCCACCAAAGCTCCAGATCTTAACCCGCTGTTTCCAGGAGTCGAGGCCAAGCCGGACCCCATTAAAGGAGGCCTGCGTGTCACAAGCTTCTTCACCTACAACTGTCTGGCTGTGAGTTGGAATGGAACAGGAACAGTCTGGTCTTTTTTTGAATGATTGTAGATCATCTATCCTTTTTCCCCATCAAGCTACCTTTACAACATCCCTCTGTGTTACATTATTGCCTTTTATTTTCACTCTGCAGGACTCAAAGGATCTCTACAGTGAATGCTTACGCACTTTCTGGAGCTGTCCTAACTGTGACCTCTACATGCCTCTTACTCCACTGGAACGCATGCAGCATGAGGCCTCCTGCAGGCCGGCAGGAGAACAGCAGCAGCAGGAGGACGAAGGTCAGAAATATCCCTATGTTCAAATATATTTTGAAAAAAAAAGAAATATTATCAAATAAATACATTCAGCTAAAAAATCCGAGCAGCTGTGTAATACTCTGTGCCAGTAACTCTGCAAGTAATTAAACATCTGAAATTAAGTGGGGGATTTTTTTGGGGGGATTTTCAGAACCAGAAAAAGGAAAGGCCGGCCCCTCTTCAGCGTCCAGTCTTACAAGAGATTATCACTGCGACGTCTGTAACGAAGACCTGACCCTCACCTCCACTGAGATCCTCAAACATAAAAGGCAGCACATGTATTCTGGCAAATAATTGAAAACAACTGAGAACAGCTATTCTGGTCTGTCAAAGAAACACTTTAGTTTGTGGAATAAAGTTTTTTTTTATATACATGTTCTAGCGTGTCACTGTTATTCTTGAGTTTGGTAGAGGAGGAAATGTATTAAAGTATTATTGGCTCACTCTAAACATCATTGGATGTGTTTCATGTAGCTTCCTCATAGTTCTATGAAAAACATATTTAAAGGCTGGAAACTGAAGGAAAAAAAACACATGAAGAGGATTATTATGAGAGTTTTTGAAAAGGCACAGTGAGTTTATGACATGCACATGTGAGAGAGAAGTAGACTCTGATTTAAAATATAGAGTGAGGGTTTAATAATGATACAAACCCACGATATGTAACACCTCAAAGCAGCACATTGGCACAAAGTCAGAAGTAAGACAGCACGGAAGATAAAAACCTGTCTCAAAAAAATAAAGAATCAGAATAAATATCTCAATAAATAAATAAAACAGGTAAATATCTCAATAATTACTTTGAAACTAATAAATACGTACATTTGAAAATATGCACATTGGCAGAAATCAATAACCCAAAAAGTAAATAGTACCCAACACAGAGTTACTCAGAAATCATAAGTTATTGATTACTCAAATCAAAAGGCACATTTATTAAGATGTAAGAATGGGGCCTGCAATTGTGATGGCATGACTGTCAGTACTTTACTCCCAACTCCTTGTCTCGACCAGAAGTAGGACAACTGTGCAATGGCTTTACTTGTTCAGTATATCTGCACCATCGAGTGAACGTGTGGAACCGTGCAGAGGTCTGTGCATTGCAGATTTGTGGGGATCTGTGTGTAAGTGTGACTAAAGGTCAGTTAAGGGTAATGGCAGTCTAGAGTCCAACTCAGTGTGAGTTTCCTGCAGTGACAGGATGCCTCTTTTCTTTTTTTTCTTCTAAGAGGACCATCATTGTTGGCAGGCCAGCCTAGAGGTGAAGAACGTTCGTCTCATAACCAAGAGGTCGAGGGTGATGTTTGTCAGCAGTTTTTGTTTCCTCACTCTGAACCCTGCTGCTTGTTCGCTCACTTCAAGTCACTTTGGATAAAAGTTCTTGGTTTAACCTAGCACATAAATAATCTAGTGAAGCCATATTTCAAGATCTACCAGGTGATTGAGACATGAGACTGTAGTAGAACTAGCCAACAATAATTTCCTTCATACAGTACATAGCTTACTGGAAGTATTCCAATCCTTAATTTTAAAGGAAAATGCCTCAGGACATAAAGAGAGAAATCCCCCCCAAAGATTCTCCCACACTGTGAGGAGATCATCAATCTGTGATGCTCAGGACATTTCAAGACTTATTTTTAATCAATGTCTACCCTGCTTTCTAAATTCTTACATTTCTAGAAAATCTTTCAACAATTCACTCAAGGGGTGAGGTGGTTGCATTTATTTTTGTAATTAAATTCAAGTTATAAGGATATTAGAGCCTCGGTTTTCCAGTTGAAACAATGCAATGTTGTTGTTTTTTTTATGAAACCTACCATCCCTACCTCTATGATCATATATTTTTTCATTTGCATCATGTTAAGCACTGGTGCAAAGTGAAAGCTCTAAAAATGGCCCTTGGTCTTTGTTTCAGTACAAAAGCTAATGTTTATGCTGACAGAATCTGTTGGAGTTGAGGGGGGGAAATTAGCATGTAACCTACCCATCGCCAGTTATTTGCCAGAAATAGAAAAATATACCACAAATTAGCAAAATATACACATGAATGCAAGGTACTGTATATCACCAGACGATTTTTTTAAATGTCTTGGGGTGACTTGACTAAGCAAAAACTTTCTCACACATACTTGAGCATCCTCAGCACCGTGGATGGATTAAGACCTTGAAGGACTGTTTGACTCTGCCACTCCACCTCATCCATTGCCAAGAGGCAGCGTGAACGTTTGAACAGGGTTAGGACAGGACTTAAAAATAGCAGCTTTTTTTTTTGACTACATACTTAAAGCAACATTCAGTAAACACATCTGCCACTGTGCCCAAACAAAGACCTAACCACCATTCATCTTCAGTTAATGTATGTCGTCTCACACCGCCAATAGACTACAGCACATAGTTTAAAAGTCACACATGCTGTTGCTCAAAGACAAAGTTAGTGTTCCTGTTTTTCATTCCTTTCTGATATCAAACACAATAACACACTACAGTATTCGGTTCCAATACTTCCAATTCGTGTCGAGTTTGTGTCTACTTGGTACAAAAATACTCTTTTAATACACTGTTCATTGCACTTGTTATTTTTTGGTGGCGTCTCATTTCAAGGCCCTGACATGTCGAGGGATTGGTTAGCATTGGGGTCCTGTTTTGTATTTCTTTGGGGTTAGGATTGTACTGTCATTGTGTACGTTAGGTAGAACAGACTCGCTCAGAGGCCTCAGTTGTAAGCACCTTGACAGACTGAACAACTACAGTGGGAGGATAGGATGTGTCGTATGATTAATACTGAAAACACATGGAAAGATGGAAATATTATGTGTAAAGTGAGGGTGTTCAATGTTCGACAAAAATTCTTGATTTTTTTTTTTTTTTTTAAGAGAAAAGAAATAACCCTGTGTTTGGTTACAAAGGACCATAATGCGTCACATTATGACTTTTAAGTCTTTGTGGTTTTCATTGCAACTTCCCTAAAAAATAATTGTCCCTTTGCATTTGATAACTCTCTCTCTCTCTCTCTCTCTCTCTCTCTCTCTCTACAACTTTAACCAAAAGACAACACTAGTGGTCTGAGATGCTCACACTCTCTTCTTTAGGACTGCACTCACGGCTTTCTTAACCAGGGTTTGAACAACATTTGAGGTAAAATTAGAGGTAAAGGGTGACATCTGTTCATCTGACTGATAAACAGGCTAACATGAAACAAACAACCTTCCCCAAGATCTCATGTTTGTGAACGTGATAGTGTGTGCCATTTGGGGGATTCTGTCATTATGTTTTACACTTAGTAAAATATACCAATTAAAATTATAACAATCATATATATAAACATCTTCTGTTTTTTGTGTTTTTCTTTTCTAAATAAAAAAACAAACAGACATTTTGAAACAGTGTACACATCATCTTTGCCTCTGCCACTTCTCTTCCTGTGATCAAGTCTGTTGACTGTTAACTCTAGATCAGCCCGAGCCTCAGTAGATCCACTATGACGGCTCCAGACGACTCCCACAGAGCCTTATCTGATCGCAGTGCACCTTCAGTAGGCGTGGGCCAGAGAGGAAGGCCCCAGGTTGGAAAAAAGAAAAAAGCAGAATGAAGTGAGGCTTTGGAAGGCCAAGTCAGAGGTCTGGGTCTACTGAGAATGCTTTGACACCTATGCTCCCCCTTTGTGCACCCCTGCAGGTGCTCTCTCCTCTCAACACCCAAAACCTCTTTGGTCCGGGGGAAACCCTTCCCACGCCCCCGAGCCCGGCCTCATCGGACTGCCTTGTGCTTCCCCCCACAGCAGCCGCACCTTTCCCCACAACGCAGGCAGGCGCGCAAAGGCAGGTAGCAGCACATGCAGGGCACAAAGAGCGACAAAGCCAGGAGGGCCAGCCAGCGGGCACAGCAAAGGGGGTTCGAGTGGGCCCCCGAAGAGTCATCGCACGAGCAAGGCTCCCAGAACTCTCCTTCAGAGTCCGACATGCAGTGGTACAGCAGAGACTCTGCGCACCACACACAGGTCCACTGGCGCAGGCAATGAAGGGCCGGGTCTGGGGCGTCCCTGCAGCGGCCCCGCCCATTCTCCGAAGCGCTGAAAACAGAGCGGCAGTACACACACCGAGACGAGCACGACGAACCCTGAGGACACGGGCTGTCGTCGTCAGGCGAGATCACGCCCGTGTCGCAACTGCCGCCTGCCCCCCCTCCTCCTCTTTTACGAGTCCGCGACCTGGGCGTGGCCAGTGAGGTGTGGATGCAGCAGGGAGAGGGCGAGCCCTTGCCCGTCTCCTGGGGTGAGCCGGCCCCTGAGGACACACCTGACACGGCGTTGGACATACAGGTGGGCGACGACGAGGAGAGACGTTGGGAAGCTTTACTGTCTAGGTTCACCGTCACTTCACAGCCCGCGGTCCCCACTCCTGCCAGGTCCTTTTCGAAGCGGACCACACACAGCTCTGACTTGTCCTGAAGACTCCCGCCGCCGCCTACAACCACTCCCCCGGTCAGCCCGCCAACCATAGTCCTGGTTGCCCCCGCCCTTCGATAGTCCTCGTAGCCTCGAGAGCCCCACAGGTCTTTGCAAGGGTCCACACTGCGCAGGTCGCCCTCCTCCAGCAGAGAAATGGTGGGCGAGAGGGGAGACAGAGGAGAGGAGGCCGGGGGACCTAGAGGAGGGGTAGGTGGAGCAGGAGGCGGGGGCGGAGGCGCTGGGGGATTCAACACGGGGGTCATTTGTGAAAGCTGGTGTTGTCCCGGCCTGGTGTGGATCTGCGGAGAAGGGTATAGGATGACAGAGTAAGTCAGGAACACTGTGTCCTGTGGCTGCTGGTACACAAACATGTTCATTTGTAGAATATCTCTAATAGACACATGAGGGATCCAGACCACCGAATCGGATTACATCTCAAGCTATCGGACATCAGTTGAGATGTTTTTCTTTTTGCTTTGAGTTTACAAAAAAAAGTGCTTTTGTGAATTTTGGACTTCAGGATGGAAACGGTAACAATAATTAAGCAGACAATCTCTCACTGCGTTCACTGCTCAAATTTAAAATAATAAATCCAAATATACTTATTTTCCCCCCTTGAGAGACCTGAGGAAGTCCCCAAACCGAACTTCAACCGCTATTCTTTTTACATAAATGACCATTTGAGTGTAACAAGTGCAGAGAAATAAGCTGCATATTATGGAGCATCATATTATCACAGTAAGTAACAATGATGTGCAAGAAGCAGGAGGTGTTTAGCTACCTGAGCAGGCGTCTGAGTGGTAACAGCATGGCTGGATCCAAAGCTAAACTCCTCTGACCGTACGAAGCAGATAGATGAAGACTCACTCGTCACTATGGTGATGGGTTTGGGAAGCATCTCCTTTCTGCTGTTGGATGAAGACTCACTTCCTGTATGGGACTGGCAGAGGCTGAATGTCATCCCACAAGTCAAAAACAATAATCGCTGTATGAGGCGGAGAATAAATGTTGAAAACAGCAAACGGCTCAGATACTCACTGCTTGCCCGTCGTCCTCTGTGTCGGCCTCTTCTGGTGTGGAGGACGAGGGCGAGTCAGAGCCTTGATCGGATGAAAAGAGAGAGGATTAATGATTTCCCATTTCTTTCTCAAGCCATTTCAAACACATGTTTTTATTTGTGACTCATATGTCTCTACCTCTGTCCAGCTTGTCTATGACAGTTTGCAGCCCTTTCTCGAAGGAGATGGCATCAGCAGGACTCTGGAACGTAAGGCCAAACTTTCGATCCTCTACTCTCCAGTGATGGAAGATGGGGTTCACCTTGTTGTACACTAACCCCCTTTGCACTGCACACTCCAGCACTGGCTGAAGACACAAACAGCAGCCCCAGCAACACAGGAAGTTATATTAACAAAAAAATAATATATACATCTCTATATATATATATATATACCCTCCTGAAAATCATGCCCCTCACATAACATGTCATCTACAGTCTTTAGGTGGTGTCGAGGAGCAACGTGGCACCAAAGACAGCCATAACACACGCACACACTCACTGCTCGATCTCGCAGTCGTTCTCCACGAATGATGTATTCTCTCCGCCCCTTGCCTTCGTGACTCCGCCCTTTACATATCACCACATGACTGAGGCCGCCACCTCCAAGGGGCACCCAGCCGCCACTGGAGTCATCACGTGTCATCACCACTGCACGAACACGCACACTGTCAGGGAAGCCGAGAGAGGGAGCAGAGGCCCAGGCTGATTAAACCACGCGATGATGGTATACACACTGGCACTGACACACGCAACACAAATAGACGCGCACAATTACGCACAGATACGCACATTCATTCAGTTAAAGCCGGGACCAACTTTCACAATACAAAAAAAATGCAGCAGTATATAATGAATAAGATGGCAAGGCAATTGTTTTCTGCTCTGTGGCACTAAGATTGCATGATGAAATTCATTCCAAGAAGACAAGAAAGTTGAGTTGACAACTCGGTCTTTAAGAGAAGTGGCGTTGCAACATGACAGCTCAAAGGTGTATCATACAACAGGCTAATAATCCATGCTCAGGGGATGGAGGTTCATGTAATATGAATTAGCATGTTATGAAAGTAAAAAGGAAATATGGATAGTGTGTTTCTTTCTGCTATGCAAGGAGCACATGCCAATCCGGGAGTTCAGCATGCGACAGACGGTCCATATGCGATGTGAGAATAAAAGGAAAAGTGAAGCAAACGGATAAGAATGAAAGCCAGCACTGAGGAGGGGAGAGATGGCCAAATGGGAGGAGGGAGGAAGAATGAGTGTTTCCCACATAGATGTATCAATGAACGCACCCATTCGACATCAGAGGCCCCCCGGCATTCTCTGCCTTTGTCAACCGGTTGAATACTCAGCATGTGAATGTAACGCATGCACAGCCGGGTCTTATTGTTATTATCAAACCACACTGATTTTTTTTTTGTTGTTGTTGGGAATTATTTCCCAGACGCTTCTTTTCGCCATCCCGCCCCTGCTGCACGCGTTCATTAACACACCCCGATTTGATGTTATATTTTTTTTATGAATGGAATAGATCAGGCCTGGAGTCGCACATCGCACCGTGCCTTGTGTTTTCCGCCGGATATTTTTAAGGCCTAAATACAATGCAATCGCGTGCGAAAAAAGGTGGAAGGAAAAAGGGAACGAGTGGGTGAGAGGATGGAGAGGAAACGAGAGATGGGGGGAGGGGGCCGATTAGAAAAGGGAAGGAGGAGAGGAGGGGTGAGGATGAGGGAGAGCGAGCGAGCGAGCGAGAGGGAGAAAAAAAAATCACATTTCATTCATAAAGTTTGGCTTTAAAAAATCATAATGAAACCCCGAGACACGTTGATAAAAATCACAACGCCTCCATCCCTCCCTCGTTTTACTGTAGCCATGTCTTGAATGACGCGATGCTGGCCCCAAACTCGCCATATTTCGCCGTTTTTCTCCCATACATTTTACACATTGACTGATTTCGTGACTCTTTTTTTTTTTTTTTTTTACCAATCGCTGTCCATGCACTTAGTTCTGTGATGTTGCATTGCTCCTGTTGTTTGTTTAATATATTTCAGTCATTATTATATTTAATTATTCTGTGCTGGTGGGTAATGAAGACTACCAGCCGACTAAAAGCACAGGTCCCCATGTAGATGGCTTAACATTATCACATATTGGAATGGATATATCGGAAATGGGGTGTATGCTGTTGATTCAAGACTACGTAATGGTGTTTTTAAGTCTCGACAGCCTGCTAAATTGTAGAGCACCGATTGTGGTAATAGTGCAAGATACTGGATTGGTTAAACATTGATGGTGGTGGCGTTCTCTCTATCCGCTCAGTGGATGACTGAATATATATATGTGCAATGTTCAAAATGAAAATGTAAGGACTTACTCGCCCTCCATGGCTCGGTGTTGCCCGCCGCTTGCAGCAGCCCACCCCAGGGTCTCCTCTCTCTCTTTTTATCCTCCTTTCATGAAACACTCACAGTCTCACCCACATTCTCTCTATATCTGCTCTCATTTTCCTAATCTTTCTCTCTCTTCCTCCCTTGCTCCGGCTCTCTCTCTCTCTCTCTCTCTCTCCACCTTGATGTCGTTTCGGTGTATCAGGATAGGCTTGAGGTTGCAGCAGCCATTTTCCGCTGGCAGCATCCTCCCTCCCTCTCTCTCTCTCTCTCTCTCTCCCTCCCTCCCTCCCTCCCTCTCTCGCTCCAAATCACTCCCTCTCTTATTCCCATTCTCACTCTACCTGCCCTGTGCCAACACATCCGCACAAATCATTGACAGCATCTGGCTTTTGCTGGGCTATAAGGTTTGCATGTGACCATGTGATTTCAAATCATCTAAATTGAGCAGTAAGTTATTGATTATTGATAAATGAGTGACGTGGGTGGTAAATTAAGATTGTTAGACCATCAAAGATCTCCAGTTGATCCACTGATTGTCAATAAAAAACACAGGTTAAAGGTGTAGTCTAAACCAACACACATTTCCGTGCATACTTGTTTTATTATATTACTCTTACTTAGTCTATTTTTCCTTAGATTATTTTGTTTATTCATTCTTAATGTGAGTATAACGAAGTTGTCAATCAGAAGCAGGAAATGAAAAACACGATATGCTCCAGTGTAGGCTAACTTAACTACACAAATTGAGGAGGCTGCTGCAATGATTTCAGCACCATGGACAGCCACCCAGTCAGAACAAATACTTTATGAAAACCTTTACTTAATGGCGTTATTTTCAATATGTTAAATAACCACTCGTCTGCAGCATTACTGACTAAGTCCAAAGTTATTCTATATCACATGTTGTTCACTTTAAAGGCTACTTCAAAATCCGTTTATCGACTCAGTATGCTAAGCTACTGCAATGCAACCTGGAACAAGTTTTTATCTCCGGAACTCAAAGTCAGTAAAAACGAAGAAGTTGCTGTAATGCATAAAATAGGAAATGTTAAAATGTGTTAGTTATTAGTCTAGTGAAACCATAAGCATCTAATAATGGAGGTAGTTATATAGTATTAATAAGGTCGTGGCAACATGCTGCACGCACGGCTCGTTGGTCTAGGGGTATGATTCTCGCTTAGGGTGCGAGAGGTCCCGGGTTCAAATCCCGGACGAGCCCAGGTTTTACTTTTATTTATTTTTTTTATGTTTAAATAACAATATGCAATTATGTTCATTAACTAATGGACGTGACTGATGCCATTCGTCCCTTAAAAAACGCAACCCAGTCCTACTCAAACTTACATGGATATAAAAACAACAACATACCTGTTCCTTAGTCAACCGTGTTCTTTAAATTCAGTGTTGTTATGCACACCAGTACATCTGATATGTTTTTATCATTAAAGTCAGTCCTAACTTTTACCTGGAGCAGTATTTATAACACGATTGCACACAAAAAAAAATTGTATTTACAGGTCCCCTGAATGAATTTGGAAACTCTCCCAGACTCATATATATCAAATACGTTATTATACAATTTATGTATAAAATAAAATTACCAAACATTTGTTAATGTGTTTTTCCTGACTTTAAGTTTTCTTAAAAAGTATTACAATGCTAAAAAAACTGTGAATATTTAACAAACTGCTAACTTATTAAGAAATGAAGGGCCTAACTGTGTAGAACAAACTTTTGTAGCACAAACAACTTCAGTTTGTTTTTTTCTAAAAAGGGGAACATTTTGTTTTAATCACTTGATCTACTTTTAACATTTGACCTCTTCCTCTTCTCCAACAACTTCCAGTGTCACCAAGAGTAATAAGGTCTTGAGAACAAGTGCAGTTGAAGTCGAAATTTGCAGCACTTTTACAGCAACCCGCAAAGAGGCAGCTTCTGTATGTCCATCATCAACATAAAAAATGTAGTGTGCAAGCCTAAGACAGACTTTCAAAGTGCACACCAACACTGCTTATATCACAGTGACGTCACCAACATGATAGCAGTGAAGTACTGATATGGATTCTGGGCCATATTCAAAGGAAGCTGCGGCAGAGGCAGAAATTAATGGCTCTTCCAGGAGATCAGAGCTCCCTGAAAATAGTTAGAACATTTACGATAGCCAGGATTTAGTGACATGGAAGAAAACAATTAAGAAAGAGAATGAGCTCCCCAAGGTAACCCACCCACAAAGCTAAAGAATTCATACAGCATTCAAAAGGTTAACATGCAACTACTCCCCAGGTAACTTTAGTTGAAGAGATGCCTAAAGCTGTCTGCAGGTCAAAACCCAATAGGCAGACAAAACTCTAAGGTTAGGACTACAGTAAAAACTTGGGTTTCCTTTCCTCAAATTACTACTGCGAGGCAAATGGAAAATGCATGCCGCCAGAAACCAAAATCAACACTAGAAATATGTCACTCTGTAGACAGAGGTGAATCAAAATAATTGCACGGCAGATGAAAAACAGGAGCCAAGCATCAGACCTGCAGTAAGTCCTAAACTGGGAGTCTCTGCTGAGTGCTGATGGTTGCTAAACACCCATTTGAAGTTAAACTGGTTTGTTCCCCTTAGGTGCCCACTGAGTATTCTTTTCTTTTAACACAAAGAACTAAATCTTAAGGTAAGAAAAGATTTAAATTGATTAATTTGTATTATATTAAAGTTGGAGGAACAAGATTCTCATCAATGCAAGATTACATTCAAAATTGTTTACATTTTCACAATAGCTTGTGTTTCAGTAAAGGTCCTGTAAATGACGGCTGGCGTCCTGGGAAAGTTGCAGTGCAAAAACTAAAAATGTACAGACATTCAAAAAATGTTTCTTTTCGGAATCATTTATTGCAGACAAAGAATTCAATTGTGAGATCAACTGGATTACAAACCATCTAGGGAGGAAGAGGCATTACCGTTTAAAAAACACAAACTTCAATGGCAATCCTCTCAGTTGCTAGGATACAAGGCAAGGGCAACACATTTCTGTGAGCTCTGCTAAGAGAAAAATGAACTTTGTATACAAAAAGTGTTTGATTTAATTTGGGGGGGAAACAAGGGGGTTCTATTGACAGTTTTTTTGTGACACTGTAAGGCAAAGTCATGGGGTGGTGATTGAGATAAACATGTAAAACAGTTGAGACCCAAAAGTGTAGACGTAGTATATGGTCATAAGGACACCAACTGGGAGTGACCCATAAAAAGATCAGTCTAATGGTGAACCATTGGTATCTTGGACAAATTAAGTAACGACTATAAACCAGTAAATGTCTTCCATAAAGGTAGCTCTGCTGCTGAACAGACTGTTCTCTTATGATACTTTTAAGTTTTTTTTCATCCTTTAAATAAAATAGGAGGAGCGCATTCAGACACGTTAGAGCATCCAGGCAAAATAAATGGTAATTAATTTGAAAGATGTGGGCAAATTGTCAACCACTCTGGCAATCATAGCATTTATATTCCTCCGGGAAATTGTGTTTGAACTGACAGGATGTGTACTGAATCAGCAGCGTGAGTATCTGAGTGTGTCTGTACATGGCTGAGAGTGTTCCTGGGGGCGGATTACACAATCATTTCCAGCTGTCGTGCATATTCGATGACCTGTTGTGCCAGCTCTGTAGAGGGAATGGTCACCTCTTCTGTCCGCTGCTGCTGACTGGTGAAAGAGTAATAGCCGTCTTGGCTCAAACTCCAGCCCCTCTGAAATGATATGAAAGTAACAATGAGCTTTTGCTTACTGTATAAGAGAGAGAGAGGAGAAATCACTTTCAGTAAAACAATATTCTACAACATTTATCTCCTTGAAAGTCAATGTTTTCTTTTTGTAAGCTCTAGATACTATAAATGTGACATTAATAATAGTTAAACAAAAAAAATCATACATACCTTCTTGGCGTACTCAGTCATCTTTTTTGGAGAACTGAAGAAAAGCACACGCGTAGCTTCTCCGAACTGGATCTGCTCATATGCTTTCTCTATGCAACCTGCGATTTCATCACTGCAATGGTAAAGACCACAGTTTGAGTCATCATTAATAACTTTCTTAATTGCACCTGGATTATATGATTAAAGTAATTTCCTCACATTTCTACATCAAGTCAAATTACTACATACTTTTTTAAATACAGGATGGATGCATTTTGGTTGTTATCTTTTACATTTGTTTTGGTCAACAATTGGTCAGTAAAATGTAATAGTAGGGTTTTTCCTGCTATGGTGAGCTGAAGCTTTAGTTATTTCAAACTGCAGTTGACTCTACCTCGTGTCTGTCAAAGGTGTCCTGATGTATGCATTCCTGAACTTTCAATTGATCTATGCCAATATTTTTCATGTCAATAGTGGTACATGAAGAATATTTTAAAACAACAGGATGCATTAGGACTTGAACAGAAATTACAAACTCATCTAAAAGCAAACAACAACCCTCAATATGAATATAAAGTAAATAACAAATTCTTACCGAATGGTGTCGAGCAGAATATCTATAAAAAAAGTGTAGCTTTCAGCAGGTATGTTTCCTTTTGCAAGAAATACCTTGTTGTAGCTTCCCTCCATCAAGTACTAAAATGGCAAGAAGAGAATATAAAACATTTACATAGTATTTACATATAAGTTAATATGATACAGTGTTAACAAGTAATGCAGAAAAGAGTGATACATTATTCTGACTGATAAATATCACATTTTGAGCCCGGTCATTTCAAAGTAACAATGCGATATCAAAAGCCCAAATCTATGCTTTGTGTATGGTTCAATATTGCACCTGTTCTAGGGATACTGGGTGTCTGATGTATACGTTGGTCTGAATGTCCCGCGCACTCAGTCTCTCAAGTTCTGTGTGAAACTCAGACACGCGGTTCTGTGAGAGCAGGAACAGCAGGTTAAGTCCAAGTAACTGGTGCATGTAGGCAGCATCAGGCAGTTCCTCCCTTTAAGAAAGAATAAAAGAAACAAGTTAGAAGAAACCAGTGAGTACAATGCAAAAATATCCAGATTTGATGGAGAAAAAAAAAGAGGTGAAAACCAAAAGGTGACATTACTTGTAGTCGAAGTAGTAACATTTTAGCTGGGCCATGTATCTCTCAAAGGATGGTATGTCCTTCTTGAGGATGCTCCACAAGGCTCCAATTTCAAGGACATCACCTAAAGCACAATGCAGATCTGTCTTAATGAGGCATACTACAGATTTAAACACAGATCTAGGATTAATATAAATTGTCAGCTTGGCTTGCTTATTGTACTTACGAGCTAAAATGAGCTGCTGCTTGGTCAGGGCGGACCCACTGGTAGGTAAAAAGTTCAGCTCCAATAAGGACACCTGTGAATACAGAAAATAAAGGCAATGTGAAGCCCTAGTTATGCAGGTTCTTGAAATCTTAAATCGTGACACTTATCAATAATAAATAAAACAAGGAGTTATGAAAGGAAGAATATTTCAACCGGAAGAATTACAACAGAGGAGTCGTATTTTAAAAACCATTCAGTGGTTAACGCTGGAGACGCGATGAAACAGAAAGTAGCGTCATTTAACTTTGATTGAAGTTATTAAATAAATAAATAATAAATAAATATAATAACAATAATAATAATTGGGTTTACAAATTTTGTATACACAGGTGTATGTATCAAATGTAAAATTGTAAACATACTGTACCAAACTGTATAGATATATGGATTGTATAAATATATAAAACGTAAATATAGTACATCAAATTGTACAAATAGATATGTATGTATGTATGTATATATATATATATATATATATATATATATATATATATATATATGGTTTGTATAAATATATAAATTATATAAAATCATATCAAGTTGTATATATGTATGGAAAATCATTGGATTGTAAATATCAAATATAGTATCATAAATATAGTAATATAGATAGATTGTATATATAGAGAAATTATAAGGAACACAGGAAGTTAATTTAATTTAATAAATATTAATTCTTGAGCTGTGGAAAAGGATTAAATAAATTCATTTTCAGGAAAATCAATTGAATGTAATTTTATTTTTATTTTTTTGTGAATTAATTTGAATATTGTTTTTTTATTTATTTATTGTATTTTCGTGCTTTTCATTTTGTTTGATTTTATTTAATATGTTTGATTTATTTCGTATGTCTGAAATAAATTTAATAAATAAATAAATAATTTATTTTGTTGTTATTTCAGGTTAATTACAGGTGAGCTGTGTGTTAGCATTTAGCAACACTGACTATGATTTGTTTTCCCATTTTCGTAACATAAATGCTAAAATTATTACAAGGACTCGCCAGAAACACAACATTCAATTAATCAGTAAAAAACAAAAACATAATTTAAACCCCAAATAAACATCATAATGTATTAAAGACACACAAACAAACAAACACTAACGTTAGCACGACTAGCCTTCCTTAGCTTAGCTTAACCTGCTAACAGCTAACGCTTCTAAAACATGATAACACACACGCGCTGATATTAAACCAACCAGGTGTGTGTGTGTGACTGTACCTTGAGTTTGCTCAGCAGGTCCCCGCATTTACTCAGGTTTGGGTTTTTCTTATTCCACTCTGTTTTCAGTGTCTCGTACAGACCAGCGGTCTCTTTCAACGCCATGGTGATTCTGCAAAAATAATTTACGACAGCGGCCACCAGAACACGTTAAACAACTGTCGTAAAAACACTCCTGTTGTTGCCACAGACGACTGGGGGGGGGGTGCGTTCGAATTGTGCCTCGGATGCGCCACTCCGCTTTAAACTTTAAAACGTTGCGGCCGCGAGGAATTGTGGGGCGTAAAAAAAAAAAAAAAAAGGATGGATCCAGTGTAATCCTATGCTTAAAGGAAGCATTGACCCACCTTTTTCTTTTAGCTTTTATCGTGGCCGCCACTTAAATGCTTCCGGGGTTACGGTAAAGTGGATAGTGTGAGGCGATAGGCGGCACAATTCGAACGCACCCCCGTTCTTCCGCCAGAAGAAACAACGGGCGAAGATGGCGGCGTTTAACGCGGAGCGGTGGTTGGAGGACTTACCGAATCATGCGATTTTCAAACAACTGCGAAGCAAGTTGCATTTGGAGCCCAATTTAAACGAGAGGGGGGGTCGCTAAAAACCTCACCTTCTGCCTGGGCGGGGACTTCTTCGTGTGGGACGACGCCGACCGCGTTTTCTACACGACCAACCTGCGCCAGCTGAACTCGGACGACCACAGCGGAAGCTTTCAGACCTTGCTGTGCATCAACCATCCGCACTTCGAGGTGTGCCAGGTGTTGCTGAGTCCCACGCAGCACCACGTGGCTCTCGTCGGGAAGCAAGGGGTCTCGGTGCTGGAGCTTCCTCAGCGGTGGGGCAAGAGGTCAGAGTTCGAGGGCGGCAGGAGCGACGTCAGCTGCAAGACCATCCCGGTGGCGGAGCGGTTCTTCACCAGCTCCCCGGCGGTGAGTCTGCGACAGGCGGCCTGGTACCCCAGCGAGACGGACGAGCCCCACCTGGTGCTGCTCTCGTCCGACAACACCATCAGGTTCTACGGGCTGAAGTCACCGCAGACGCCGGGTAAAGTGTTGTCTCTGTCGCAGGCGGAAGATGACAGCGGCGGTCATCCTCCCGCCCGGTCCTTTGCAGCTTCTTTGGGAGAGATTGCTGTTGCTTTTGACTTCGGGCCGATTTCAGCCCCACCTCGGCAGCTGCCAGGACTGTCCTCCAAAGACCAGCAGGTGTACCCTTTGTACATCCTCTACGAAAACGGGGAGACCTACCTGAGCTACACCGGCCAGACAAACGGGGTGGTGAGTGTGAGTAAACCCGCTGGACCCCTCCCCATGTATCCTGCTGCAGAGGATAATTACGGCTATGACGCCTGTGCCATCCTCTGCCTGCCCTGTGTTCCCAGCATCCTGGTCATTGCCACGGAAACCGGCACGCTGTATCACTGCGTGGTGCTGGAGTCAGAAGACGAGGAGGAGACCGTGGAGAAGTGGATCAGAGGAGCAGAGGCGGTGCCGGCTCTTTATGTGTTCGAGTGTGTTGAGCTGGAGCTGACCCTCAAAGTGGCCACGGGCGAGGACGAGGACCCCCAAGAGTTTGATTTCACTTGCCCGATCAGACTGCACAGAGACCCCCTCTGCCAGCACAGGTATCACTGCACGCATGAAGCGGGAGTGCACGGAGTCGGGCTAATCTGGGTCAACAAGCTGCAGAAGTTCCTCCAGTCCGGCGAGGAGGATAAGGACGGCCTCCAGGAGCTGTCCGCTGAGAAGCGCTGTATCGTCGAGCACATTCTTTGCACCAGACCCCTCCTAAGCAACCAGTCGTCTCCGGTCCGTGGCTTTTTGATTGTGTCTGACCTTTCCCTGGGCGCCACCATGATCTGCATCACCAGCAGCTTCGAGTGCATCTTGTTGCCCCTGCTGAGCTCTGTCCGCCCTCCCTCCCCTCCCCTGCTGTGTTCCCATCCAGGCCCAGGCTCTGTCAGCTCCCCTCTACGAGGACTGGCCGACGACTCCTTCGAGCAGCACATCCGCAACATCCTGGCACGCAGCTCCACTAATCCTCTCGTGCTGAAAGCCGGCGACAAGGATGTGTCGCCTCCTCCTCCGGAGTGTCTCCAGCTCCTCAGCAGAGCCACGCAGGTCTTCCGCGAGGAGTACATTCTCAAGCAGGACATGGCCCGTGAAGAGATGCAGAGGAGGGTAAAACTTCTGACGGGCCAGAAGAAAAGGCAGCTGGAAGACATGGCGCTGTGCAAGGAGGACCAAAAGAGTCTGAAAGAGGCGGCAGAGAGGTTGGCCGACAAATACGAAGACGCAAAGTATCGCCAGGAAACCATCATGAACAGGGTTAAGAAAGTGCTGGGCAGCCTTCAAAGCCACCTACCCATTCTGTCAAACAGTGAGAAGGATATGAGGAAGGAGTTGCAGACCATCGGCGATCAACTTAAACACCTGGACAACTCCATCAAGCAGGTGAACATGAAGATGGAATACCAGAAGACACAGGTGGACAAGAACGCACCGGCCGCCAGGACATCAGTCTTACTGAATGCCCACCAGAAGAAGGTGGTTCAGGATGTCCTCAGAGAACAGGGACAGCAGATCGGTGACATGATGAAGCAAATCAAAGACATCAAAAACCACGTCAGTTTCTGAAAAGCTGGACGGGTCGCTTTAGTCATGCCTTACTTGGCAATGTGGTGTTTGGGTGTTTGAAGAATAGTTTGAAATGAAAGATATTTTGTACACACTGATACATATTTACCCCTCTTAATAAATCTGTGTTTCTAAATAGATTTGCTAAGGTTGCCTTCATGTCTTGCATAACATTTTGTATATGTTATACGTCAACATTACTAATTGTCAAAGGTTTGAGTCAGTAATGTAGAAAATGTTGTGTTTTGGCAGCTAAAATTGCGAAGGAATTTGAGCTGAACTCATTGGACTAAGCTGTTTACAACTTGTTCTGCTCACCTTTTGGAATGATAATAAAGTTGTTATTTTTCTCGGTAACTGTCTTAACATATTTTTCACAGTTTACGTCCGCAAATTACAACTATTCAGGAGCTTGCATGAAAAGTTAAATCCCAAGTGAATGAAAAACTGACAAAAATAGTGTATTAACAACTAGCACTGCACAATACATCATTATTGCAATTTGAGCATTTTAAATGAACACAAACCAAGAGTTCTCGCTTATTCAAATCAAATAACAATATACATTATGAAAACAGACGATGCTGTCTAATGGAGGCATAATGGCCTTCCTTTGACACCAATCTGAGTCAAATCAGTTAATCAAGCTATCACCTACACTCAGAAATTGGTGCAAATTAAGTAAAATTGATGCTGTTGGGTTTATTTTGGATATAGGAGGGGCGTGCTGTTAACAGATGTTGAGTTAAAAAATGAAGAGCTGCACAAACAGAAAATAAGTTATTGCTAATGTGTATTTTGTATGTGTGTATCAGAGTAGCGCACTTTATATTCTTATTTCAACAATTAATAATATAATCACACATTGGATATATGTCATACTTAACAGGATTATATTTAAAATACCTTTTAAAATCAGAGTGGAAGGATAAATGATAAACTTTCATTGTAGCTCATCTCAATACAAAACTCATGTACAAATTTAAATTGTATGTTATTAGCTGTTTTAATTTCCTCTACACACTGTTTATGACGAGTTCTGAGTCAAACTTCAACTAGATGATTAAAAATCCACAGTCCATTTTACATCCTCTGTGTTTATAACAGCTCTGTGGAAGATATCCGCTTCGTTAGATTAACTGCGACTACTGAATTCTCTTAAATGTTACACTATTTCAACACAGCATGTCTAGACTAAGAATTCTGATCGTACCCTTTAATGCCCATTTTTGTGGCTCTACAGTTGGACAGTGTAGTAGTGTGCAGTGTGCAGAGTGAGGCTGCCAGTAATCCTGTTTCCACCAGATGTCACCACTCTCCAGAGTGACTTCACTTTTTGTTCCAAGGCAGGTTTTGCAAGTGAGGAATTCCCCGTGTAAACATTGGGTGACGTATGAGGAGACCCCGGTTTTGTTGAGTAATCCTCATTGTTGGGGGAGCCCGATGTTGTGGGGGATCCTCTGCTGTAGCTCCCTTCCTGTTGGACTCACCTCATGGCTGTGAAAGCACCGTGTAGCTAGATTTGAGCTACAAATGTTAAAGAAGGTTTATGACTCAGCATAGCCTCATCATGTAAACAGGCAAGCACTGTTCTATGGATATATTTTTTAATCTAATCTTTAAAATGGCATGATTTTAAAATACATGTGAATTCAGGATAAATTTGTGTCTTGCCAAGAAACATTTCAGCCGTACTGTACAGAATGAGGTGTGGTTTGCTACAGGTCTAGCACAGGAATTCTCCAAATAGGGGGATGTTGTTAAAGTCTTTCATAAAGGTACAGTGTCTAGATCCTGTGCATGAGCCTGAGGAAACTTAGCGGACCCTAGGAAAGGAGGTATTAATAACTCTTGGTCCAACCCACCACATTCTTCACATGTGAGTCACTGTAAGCCAGAGAGAGAGAGAGAGAGAGCGAGAGGGGAGGAAAAAGCTGCACTGCCTCTGTTTCTCATTTGTGTTTCTTTCCATGGAGGAGTGGAACAGGGAGGCGGGGAGACCACCCCCCCCCTTCTTCTGCAAAGCTTGATCGCCCTTATGTGAATCACACACACAGCTCCACACGGCACACATATTTGAGCTCACCGCATAGTTTACATGGGATAAAACAAAAAGGGGCTCATGAGCAGGCTAGTGAGAGAGTGACTGTAGATCAAAAACAGGGTGGGGATAGGACTGTTTAACTGTGTGCCTATCAGAGAGAGAGAGAGAGGCAGAGAGAGCTCTTCAGATGGTGGGAATGAGTGGAGAGAGTCGTGGAAAATGGTGGTATGGGGACTTGGCAGGAGAGAGTGTGACTCACTGTTTATGTGGTCTGTCACTGAGAGACCATCTAAACTCTCCTAAGAGTGCCATAGTAAATGCCCTCAGTCTGTATGACATTCTTTACTTCAACATCTTTGCACTATTCACCACTGCACTATTATCTTGTATTATCTTATTTAGCCTTGTACATATTAGTCTTTGCTTATTTGTTTATTTTTGTGTTTATTGCTGATATTTAATGTTATACCTTTGTACAAAGAGAGCAGTTTACCAAAGTAAAATTCCTTGTGTGTTTAAGCACACCTGGCCAATAAAGCTGATTCTGATTTATCTCAAATGCTAGATATCTTTTAGAGCTAAGTGTTTGATAACTTTTTTGAGTCTATAATTTGACGTACAAAAAGGTCACTAAAGAGACTCAGCACAGTCAAAGGATTTTATTGGTTGCAATATTAGTTGACATAAGAACAGTTGGTGGAGCTGTGTACAGTAGTCAGTTATATATCAATCATTCAGTCTAGTTGAAAAAAAAATGCAACTGAGGTCTGGCTCCTACACATAAAAAAAAACAAAAAAAACGACGGCAACAATTACAAAAATAATATATAAAGTGTGTACAAATTGTGTCATGGAAAAGCATAAAAGTGAAGTGCGGAATATTAGATGTGTGCTGCCAGTTTGAGTTACAAAATAAGAAGCTTTTAACAAATCGTTGAACAAAATAAGTCTTTGTTGATAAAATTCATAGATGATATCTTTCCTGGAAAAATCACACCCCACAAAATATCACCTCGTAAATACTGTGCCACTCACATCTCGACTCCTAAGGAATGTTGAATTAAAAGGTTTTATTATAGAAAAGTTTTGCTCTATAGTTAAGCAGATATATTATGCTGAATACTGCTAGAGGGGCGCCAGCCTTTATTTACTAGTGCTCAGCAGACATGAGTAGATGTGCGTTTAAATCCACATCATGAAAGGCAAAGTTTGAGGAGCAAAGGGGGGAGAAGCAACATGACCTAGTGTGACTTGTTAATAGACAATGTTTGACAGTAAGCCCTTGTCATATAGTTTCCAAGGACTAACCTGTGCTTTGATACATTATGTTCCATTGTGCAAGACCGAAATCAGCGTCAAAGTAAAAAGTTGAATGTTGAATGCTCATACAACGTTTTACTGAGTGTTGGGGCGTAAACAAAAGCAAAGAAAAACAGTAGCAAAAGCGAAATAAAGAAGAGTCTCTCTAAGCTCTCGCAGCTCAAGAGACTTTGTGATATGTCTATGCATCAGAGCCCTTCTGCCTGCGTTTGGATGGTGGGATCAGGCGTGTTGGAAGCTCAGGGGGGAGACCATGGCCCTCCAGCTTGACCTCAATCAAGTGGCTAGCCAGCGCAAATTCTTCATCATCCAGCATGCCATCATGGTCTACATCTGACAGCTTCCAGATGCGACCCAGCACCGAGTTTGGCAGGCGGGAGCTCACCATCCAGTCCTTAGCCTTGGGGCCGCTCAGTTTCCCCTCATTGGGAGCGAGGTTGTAGAAGATCTCATCATATTTGGGCTTGTCCTTGGTCACCACCCAGTCTTCCTCCTCCTCTTCCCCTCTCTCCCCGTTCTCCTCCGCAAAGGGGTCGCCCTCGGAGAACGGTCCGCAATGGGTCCCGAGGAAGGCTCCACCCTGCACACCTCTCTGCTCCCCTGCCTCCAGCTCCTCCTGCCGCAGGAGGGGCATCAGCTTGGCAATGTCAGCGGACAGTAACTCGTCCAGGGCTGCCATCAGATTAGGCTTCAGGGTTTTGAACTTGGTGAAATCATGAACCATCAGTTGCTCCTTTAAAGAAAAGGAATGATAAAAATGTGTCAGCGAGTAGATTTATAATTTAATTTAAATCTAACCCCGACTGTAATAAAAACGTTTCGGAAGAGATAAGAAGAAGTCTTTACATATCTGCCTCCCAGATGTGCCCAGCAGGGGAAACATACTGTACTCAGACCTACCTGCATTTTAGCACAATCAGGGAAGTCTCCAGCAGAAATGTTGTGCTGCAGCTGGATCTTGGAGAAGATAACAGGCAGCTGGTAGATCAAATTCTTCTTTTTATTGTCCTTCCTGAAGACAGGCATCTCCTGCTTCAGATGGCTGATGATATGGGCATGGACCTGGGATATAGGAAAGAATAGCAAATGAAAACACAAAGTTATTCACACAAATGACGTGATTGGAGTGCAGTACTGTCAACCTGTCCATAATCATTCAATAAACAATGGGAATAGAACTCACCCTAACCAGACGCGCCCTCTTGACCAGGTCATTGAGCTTGCGTAAAGCTGCATTTCGAGGAAGGTTTTGGATGTCAGCAAACAGATCCTCCTCCTCCAGCTCAAACAGCCTGCGGTTGTCTGTAACCATCAGCGGCTCTGACCAGAAGGAGCCGATGTAGACGCGCAAAACTTCCGGGGTGCCAAACACCTTCCCCAGGGACCACATGAGCGCTCCGTACACCCTCATAAGCTGCTGGGTGTCCACCATGTCGGCCTTGTTGAGCACCACGCGCAGCTTGTCCTCGTTGCCCTTCAGGGCTCCGATGGCCTCAGAAAACTCGTCTGATATCTCCAGTTTGTGGGCGTCAAATAGAAGAATGATGAGGTCGACACGTTCCGCAAACCAACGCAGGACAGCTGGGAAGTCATAGCCTGTTTGAACACCAAGAAAGTTAACTTACAGGCTCAAAAATGTCAGTGTATTTTTGTCAGGAGAGGGAAGAAGGTTGGAACAGACACAAACCCTTCATAACTCTTTTTTATATCCGTCAAACTTTATGACAATTCAGACACTAGGCTTCACTTTATCACAAAAACATTTCTTTGACTCTCAGCAAGAAAAATTTCAGCAAAATAAAAGTTTAAAATGTCATGTTGTTTTCTCATATTTGCCTATGTGATCATCCTTTAAAGGGTCAGTTCACCCAAATTCCCCAAAGACACTTTTGTTTCACCACTTAACGATTTAATTAGATTACCGTCTCAGTATTTCCTTTAAATTGACTCATGTTTAGTATAATCGCAGTACTGTTAACAGAAATTTCCCATGTATCCTGGATTTTCCAAGAACTTTGCTGAGAGCTGATTGCAGTGGAACAACTTCTTCCCAAATAAACGGTGCGGACTATCCAGAGAAACCTGATCACTTCATCTACAAAGACACATAAATGCTAAATCCACAAACAGCATTCCACTCGGCTCTGTTGTATATTGGGCCGGAGTCAGAAATCTCACGAAGGGATGTGTAAAACAAAATCAACAGATAACAAAAACTATTAGAGAAATAACTCCAGTGGAATGTAAGGTATAATTTGGATGCACTGACCCTTTAAAGTTGTTAGTTTTTCATGCAGAATGATTTGTGTATGAGTGAGTCACCTAAGGCGTGAATGGAGAGAAAAGTGAGGAACGACTGGTTGATGATGATCATGGTTGTTTCTCAACATTGTTTTTTTTTTTCCCAAATGTGCTGACAGAATGTCTTTCTGTATCTCTGTTGTTGATTATGGTTTAATGGCTGCTTTTTCTCACTCTGCTGCCAAGTGTTATTGTGACAGAGCAACAAGTCCCACGGGTTAGCCAGGCGTGCCGATGAGATGAGTTTGTGAGTTGAAGTTTAGGGATGTGCGTCTCTTCAAGCCCCCCAAATGTCCTCTCCTTACCTCTGCCATCTTTGGCACCTTTGCCACCTTTCTCACCTCGGCTCACTCTCTGCTTGGCACCTGACAGGATCCCCGGGGTGTCAATTATGCTGATGCTCTCAAGGACCTGGTTTGGCATCTGGGCACACTGAAACCTGACATTTTATCAGCAGAAAGGAGACAAGTCACATAAAGACCCAAGTTCACAGAGGTCAGATACCCTGTTGGTGCAGAAGGAAAACATCTAAATCATGTGAATAACGGTTAAACTCTCATCAAAGAAGCCAATGTCATCCAAGGAGTAGATTGGAAGCGGCACTCCCCACACCCTCATCCCCTCCCACTGCAGACCATTGTGCGCAAGCAGACCTCTCAATGCTGCGTTCTTCCTGAAGGAAAATGACCACTACTGCCAGAATCAAACAATAAGGCCCTGCTAATGATGTGTGGCTTAGAAAAACAACACCACTTCCCGTGGCTTATGTGCTTAACGAGCCCACCGGTTGCCTGAACAGGAAGTCAAAGCAAAAGGAGAGACGCAAATACGTTCACAAACCCGCCCTGCAGAGGGAAAGAGGGACGCCGCTGGAAAACTGGCACCAGACATTTTTACACTGCAGTTCCACTAACATTAGCACTGAATGTTTCTATTGCTTCTTGTCAGCATGTCCATGTTTCTTAGAAGCTTACAGCAGTTCATTGACAAACATGTGACTTTTTTTTCTCATGAGTTACACTAGTGGAAAAACATGCACAGAAATCCCAGACAGAAAACATAGTCGAGGAAAGAACTTCAATGTAAGCTTTCTCCAACAGGTTACCTAAGCTTCACAAAGTGTGTGACTTCATTTATTTGCCTTTGCCCCGAGGGGCTGTGGAGCCCTCTGACCTTTTCTTTGAACATGCGTACATTGCTGTTCCTGCCTCAGAACATTCAGCTTTCATCACCCTCTTGGGTGATATCGCTCCCCTTCTCCAGTTTTCCACAAATAAGGAAAGTGCCTCTTCGCTCTGAAATTTGGCACAAGGACATGAAATTCCAAAGAGCTAAAAATCTGTTATCTCTCCTTCCCTGCTTCCCTTGTTGGGTTCTCTCACATAGTTCTGTGCATTTCACACTGATGTCTCTATAACTCACTCAGTGGAAAAAATGACACAACTTTTGTTCTCTCACCTGTTGAGAAAAGTGTTTCCAAAGGGGTTAAGTTTACGGAAAGGTTTGTTGGGGTCCACAATAAGGGCATTCCCAGGGATGACTCCCTCCACCTCCCCGTGCATGATGGCAGTGAAGCAGTCTGTGGTGGGCTCAGGTCCCACCCTGCTTCCGGGAATATCCTGCTCCAGTAGATACCTGTCAGTCACACAAAGAGCTTATTAGTTTCTCAGAGCTGGTGATCACAGTTATTATCACACGCAATGTTACTGGTCATGAAATGTTTTATTGCAGAGTGGATAATCTTACTTGATGAATGTTGTCTTTCCAGTGGAGTATTGTCCCACCACCAGCACCATCGGCTTGTTATCAAAGTCTGCATCCTCCAGGCTTTGGGAGTGGAAGTCGTGGAAACTGTAGTGCTGCTCCAGAGGCAGAAGCTTCTGACGATACAACGATTTGAGCCCTTCTGTCACGGTGCGGATCACCTCAGGCGTCTTTTTCACATTTTTTCGCCCCCAGCGTGACATGTTGATCGAGGAAGAAGATTACAGGGATCTTCTTACAAAAGATTAGTGTCTGAGTTTTTTTCTGTTTCTGTATTTCCTGTAGCTGAAGCTTCGAAAACCTTCAGGTGTTTCCTGTATTTATGTGGACACCGCTCACTTGTCCTTGAAAACTCCTCTGCACACGCTTAGAGAGACGGGGGTGATACTTTGTTTGAAGTTTAGATCTTCCCCTTTGGAAAATGTTTGCCCCTGAGATGTGGACAGAAAAGAAGACATGCAGAGGTTAATCCAAATTTAAAAAAAAAAAAAAAAAGAGGTAAATCCAGCAGGCAAAAGTTTCTAAGTGTTGTTATTATTGGTGATTTAAGTCTTCCCAGCCTAGAGAAGAGATGTTAAATCTAGAGTTGGCTTCAGCCCACAAGTATTGCCAAGTATTGTCTGTGCATGCCTGGAAAAAAATGGTGTTCAGGCTGGAAAACTCGCAAACCCAGCCCTGCTCCAGGATTTGCAAAAGCACAGCTCATTTCTTTAATGTGAAATGAGTAATACATTCCTTCTATCCCCTGCAGTTCCTCTCAGTGGAGCACAAAATACATGCTTAGTTGTTCACGTAGGGAAAAGACCTCATTGCCCGCAAATTGAAAAATTATTTCAGCCTTGTGTTACAATCTTTTTTTTATGTCACAGTCTACAAAAAAAAAAAGAAACGCTGGATTAGGAAATGAAGGCAAGATTCATCATTAGAAGCAGGCTGACAAAGAGACACAAAGGTAAGACACGCGTCAGCCAATGTCAACTCATGTGAACCCAAAGCAAATCCCATTTGAACAAGGATGTAAAAATATCTGCCACAAGAAAAATGGGCAAGACTGTCCTGACATGTCACAAGACCAATGTGAAAAAAGTTTTTTATCAAGATGGCGCACTTTAGAGATCTACAGGGCAGACATTAAATTTGATCTGAGCATCTGGTTAAGGTCATTTCTTAAGATTAAGGGTAGTGGAATATAGCTTGTGGTTTATGCATAACAATTACAACATCATTTGTGCTTAAAAGAATCACATGCAGGAGCAAAAGGAAAAAGGAGATTTACCTTTTAATATCCAAAATGAAGAATTATAAATTACTTTTCAAAAAGATTGTAAATAGCTTGACATGTTTTTTCATTGATTTCCTAGACTAAACTGTTATCTTTACTTTCATTGAACACCATCAAGAATAATTTTCTACTTCTGTTTCACAATCCAGCAAAACTTGCACAAAGGTTAAAACAGAAGCTGATCAGTAGATTGATGTAGAAAGTTTAAAAAGAAGTATTTACCAAGTTATAAGGGAGAAAGACTTCTTCTTCTTCAAGTGCCTTGGCTTCTTCCTTTCTTCAGTCTTGCTCGCCGGAGTTTGGAAAATATTTTGACTTGAGGAGACAAAAACAGCCAATCTCTTGGAGGAGCTGCTGCTACATGTATGGGTGTACCTCTGACAGCAAATAGGAACCCTCAGTGAAGCGCCAACGTAGCCAGATCACAGAGGATCCTTCTTACTCCAGTGTTTAATGTATTTCAGATGAGCTCCAAATCTGGCAAGAACTCGTACTCTGCTTGCTGAAAAGAGCACAAGGCAAACAGTTAGGACACACAGCTCTCTACACTGAAACTTTTTCTCTCTCTTTGCCTGCTTCTGCTTAAATGTACCTCCTCTTTTGGGGATGCCTGGCAACACTTTGGACAGCAATAACATTCAGTTCAGGGCAGAGATGAGCTGACTTGTGGTCAGAAGGCGTGGACCCAGAGGCGGGGGGTTTGAATAAATAATTTGGGTGGAGCCTTTTTTTTTTATTTTTTTTAATAATCATGATGATAGAACCTGTGTCTTTATGCATATTTTGAATGCTCAACACAACCTTATGCTGCACCCTTCCAGCCTCAAAGATTCTACATTTATTTATATTCTAAAACTACTGTAAAATGTCATACATTTACAGTTTAGAGCCCCCCCCCCCACATCAGTCTAAGCTCTTTGCTCCTCCCAAACTCTGAACCCTCCAGGCGCTGAAGCACACCAACACTCTACTTTTCCACTGCGATGCACCACCTGCTGGCTGTCTGATAGAGAACACACCCTGTGGCCGCCACCATTACCACCACCGCCTCCTCCTAACTAACATACAGTACTCCTCAGTCATCAGCACTCATCCACAGGAATGCACCCTGAAGATTAGGAACCAAAGGCTGAACTGCTGGACAAAAGACAAGACAGTGTGCAATGTTTCATAAAAGAAGCAAGGTTTAATTTACAGTTTTACTAAATGTACATTTCTTTTTAAAAAGTGTCATTATACACAATAAATACAATACAAAATTAATCTGTAATACTATACTTCAAATTCTCTTACGGTCTTTTGTACATTATTATTGTTCCTTTTTTCCATTTCAATGCTTGTGCCGTGTTTGTGTTTGAATTGTCCACCAGGCCGTAAAAGACAAACGAAACACACATGGGAGGCAGGGGATAAAGTGGCAGAAAGATGAAACAGACTGAGAACAGAGAAATTCAACTGTTATAACTAGTCTGCCCCCTGCTGACGGAAAATGCCATAAGTCCTAACCTGGCATCATACGCAGCAAGAGGGCAGGTGTGTGTGTGTGGAGGCATTGTTTAAAAACAAGAAACCGTGAAAATCATTACATTGGAACCAGAAGAGAACTGAATTTCCTTTCATTTCATTTACACCATGACAGAAGCCCTAAAGCGAACACCTTAAAAACCTTTTACTTTTTTAATGCTTGTGTAATTGCAGGCTTTGTGGATTTTGAACCGGTATTGATTATTCCAATTGCAGACCAAGACAAGTTATCTTTTTAGCATTGAAAGTCAACCTTCAAGTTCATGTGCTATCTGAAGTTCATTTTTTTTTTGTAAGTAGGTGGACTGTGACATGTTCTCTTTGCTCCTGTAGGGAACATAGGATCATCTCATTTGGTTGTAAAAAGGCAGACACCATGTTTAATGTTTTCCAATATAAGCTGCAGGTTGTTGACTTCTGAACTGTTTAATTTAGCTGCCTGATGCTCACTGGCTCAATGTTGAAACCAGGAAAATAAACCGCTGTTGACTAAGATCAGGGCACACATGATAGGAATGTATGAATAGTGAAGAAGAAGGAAAAACAACAAAAACATCGGACAATTTCATGTCGTCACTTTAGCTTGGCTGATAGAACAGATACAAAAATGTGAGGCATCTTCAAGTCTGCAATTCACAAGGACAGTTTTACCTTTGACCACACTCACTAGTTTCACCACAGGTCTACCTCAGGTTGTAAATGACAAAGAAATATCTGGACAATTCAAATGGACAAACAGAGCCATCACAGCTTGGCAGAGTAGTACAGTGATACTGTTTTCACAGTGCCCTCCTTCCCCTGCCTCCAAATCTGTCTTTAACCCTTGTCAGTCTGGCCTTAGGCTGAGGGGCTGTTATCTGCTTTGAGTTTGGGGCACCAGGTTGCCATTGTGGCCACGGCCACCAACCTGAGGGTGCTGGGCCAAGGAAGAGGACGAGGATGAGGAGGAGGTTGGGACTGAGGGCCTGTGGGATGAGGTTGCCGAGCCCCCTGGGCGCTGGCTTTGGTGGGACCTGCTGTTGCCCCCTTTAATGTGTTGCCCACGGGCAGAGGGTTCCTGCTGCAGGTTTAGGATGCTGTCAATAGCGCACTGCAGGTGCTCATTAAGAGAGTCGTCAGGAGGGCTGCCGCTGGAGAAGCTGGCGTTATCCATGTCAGGGGAGTCTGACTTACAGCGTTTGGCAGGAAGCAAAGAGTCACGAGTGAAGGAGGACTCGGGAGAGGGAGGCCCAGGGGCATGCTGGTCCATTCTGAATGTCCCACCTGCCCTATGTCTATTTTTTCCACTTGCCCTCTTGTATTTACCTACATCCGTCTCTAGTTCTGTGCACTCCTCCCCTCTCTCCTTTGCCCCTTCCCTGTCTAGGAGCGGAGGAGGTGATGCCGTTGTGTAGTTTTGATGCCACGATTGAACACCTCGTCCATGTCATCCAGCCCCTGCATTGCACTCCCATAGCGGCCCGTTTCGTTGCTCGATTCTGTGTGAATGTGTGAGGCCTCCCTGCTTCTCTTCTCCACCTTCACACTGGCTATCACTGTCCTCTCTGAGGGAGGAGAGGAGGCCTCATGCCTGGGGGGTGAAGGTGTAGGTCTGGGGTACGTAAAACTCTCTTCTCCTCCCCCTGGGACACCAGGTCTGACTCGGGGACTAATGTTTTCTCTGTACGTTTTTCTCAGGGGGAGTCGACAGGTTGTCTGCGAGGGAGTGGCAGTGGAGTTAGAGTTGGCTTTCACCCCCCCTGCGTCGTGGTTATCCAACGTCCCGTTCATTTGAGCTGAGGAAGAAGACGTGGAAAACGACCAAGTATGGGAAGAGGAGGTGGAGGAAGATGGGGCTGCGTTGTGGGTAGCATTACCTCTCTGTGATTGGTTACACTGAGCAGTTGTTATGGTGACCGATGAGACTGATGAGGCAGCAGGGGCAGCAGGGCAGTGCATACCGGGGACTGAGTTCTGATGACTGTTTTAGGAGTTGATACAGGTTGGGACTTCGGGTGCGTCGCAGCATCTTCAAGCTGAGTGTGAGGCTGGGATGCGGACTGGCTGCTCTGCTGAGATTGAGGTGTGTGTACTGGGTCTAAGGCTGTATTGTGGACCACCTTACTGAACCCCGCTTGATCCTGTTTGATCTTCAGCTTTAAGCCAATCCTCCTGCGAGCCTCGTAGGTCTTCATAGGCGGTTTGCTGGTTCTTTGTGGGAGAGCATCCTCATCATCTGCCGCTTGAGAGTTGAAAGACGAAGAGGATAGAGAGGACGATGCTGCTGGAGCTCGACTCGAGGAGGAGTTCTGGCTGTTGGGCTCGGCCAGCCTTCCTGCTGCAGCTGGAGTAGTGGGACAACTACTGGACCAGGACACAGATGCCCCGCCTTCACCATGCTTTATTACTAGCTTGGTGGGGTGGAAGGGAGCGGTGGGGGGGAAGGGAGTGGTGGGAGGGGGAGCAGGCGGTGCTGTGGTTAGAGCAGGAGCAGGATTGGAAGCAGGAGTGGGAGTTGAAGCTTGAGCAGGAGCTTGGGTTGGTACAGGGGGAGGATTTGGAGGGATGTTTGGAAGAGGGGTTGGGGTTGGGGCAGGAGCTGGAGGTGCTGGAACAGGGACAGCTGCTACTCCACCAGTCGCAACAGTGGGCTCAGCAGAAGATGACTTCTGCTGGGATGACAATACACCCTCCAACATACGTGCATTTGCCACAAACTCCTCTGCAAAGAAATAAAACAGAATGATACTATCAGCTTACACCATATTTAGATAAAAAAAAAACAACCACATGACTATGTAACAGATATTGGTACAGTACCTGGTCTCTCCCTGGCTAAAACTCTGTCCTGACTCAACGCAATCTTCTCCTCCTGAATGAACATCCGGTCCATCATCACCATCTCTGCTGAGGGGCCCAGTCGCTGCTCAGGTTCAAACACAAAATACCACAAATTCAAAATCAATTCAGGACAAGGACGACGAAAAGGTTAATGGCCTCAATGCTTTGGTTTATATACTTACTTTTGACTCTGCAAAGAGCAGGCAGCGATATTTATCCAGCATAGCCTGGGTCCTTTTCAGGAGATGACAGGAGACCCTCTCAAATTCATCATCCACTGTGAACAGGAGAACCAAGATGGTCATGAAGACTGTCATATTAGGAGAAGTGGCAACTTACGTTTGGCCTGTGCGCTAGAAGATGTGGAGTTTATTACCTTTTTGATAGTCTTGAGAAGAGTTGGCAGTTCCCTGGTAGACATGGTAAGGCATCAGTCTGTGAAATGTGTCCTCAAAAGAGTGGAAAGGAGCACTATAGTTTGGGTGGAGTACTGAACCCTGCTGTTTCCTCAGTTGTTCCAGCATCCTGTAGTGAAGTTTGTATAAAGAGATACTTTTCACAAAAAATGAATGATGAAACAGTTCAGCTAAGCCATTTAAAATGCACAAGGCACACACCTGGCTTCTTTGCTTGGCTCTGCACTGAAAGGCATCTTCATTGTTGTTGTCTGTGATGTGAACATACAAGATAAAAAAAACAAGGATTAATTTCTCAAACTTAAACTTTAGAGTTATTTTTTGGGCTTTATTAACATAAAAGGTTACAATCCTTAACCTGAGTTTGTAATGGGGTTGGGGTCTGTGGCGCAGGCATTTGAGTCAGACTAGTTCCTAACACCTGCATCTGCATCCCAGCTTTCCCCAGAGTCATTCCTCCAACTGAGTTGATCACCCCTGGCTTTGGCTGAACCTGAAAAAAAGAGAGATTAGACACTTTTGAAAAAACTATCACCCTAAATTCAATTCTAAACTGTAGTACACAGAATTACCAGAATGCAGGCATTTGAAGTAATGATGTTGCCTACCTGGGCAGGCTGGGTAAGGCTGGCAGGAGTGACAGTCTGATTCACCATTGATCCAGCTGGCCCTTGGGTGCCTGAGAATACCTGTAAGTCACTTGATGCTAAAAAAAAAAGAAAAGAAAAAAAAAGAGGAAACAAATACTTAAAATACTTCATAGTGTGTTAAGGGTCATGCAGAAAAACATAATTTAGTTAAAAACGTATCTAACCTGTAGCAGGCGTTTTGACAAGCACTGATGTGGGCTGCAGCACTGACAGAAGCTGAGCAGGTGTACCAGTGCTGGAAGATGTTGCAATCACCAATTTATCAACAGGCACATCTTGCTGAGAGCTGAACTGACTGGTGACTGGAGGTTGAGTTTGAGGCAGAGGTTGAGGCTTGGGTTGTGCAGACTGCTTGGCCTGCAGCAAGATGTTCTGCTGGACCTGGGAACAAAATTAGAACATTTTTCTAATTAGCTTTCATACAATAAAGTCTAGATAAACCCATTTGGTTTCCTGAAGCATTCCTGCTGGTTTGAACCGATTAATTTTAATTGAATTGATCACCACTTCAATTATCAACTAAATATGCACTGAAGTAAGACTTTCTACAAACGAGTGCAAATGCATAACCATTACAATTATCGAATGCAAGTAGTAACGTTTGGATGTCTCACCTAACACTGCTTGCTGTATCATTTAAACATTTAAATTGCACTGATGATGTTCCTCTGAATATCTAAAAAATCTGCTAATATCTCAACACACATGACATTACACAGTTGCTACACTTTGGGAGGGTGATAATTATACTGAAAACACTTTTGCATGCAAATATCCTTTTTTTTATTAATCTTTCAGGTGAACGGGATAATACCTGGTGCAGCTTGTCCAAAAGCTGTTTTTGCTGAGGTGAGGGCTGAGTTATGCCCGACAGGGTCTGAATTTGTGCTCCTATTAATTGCAGGTGGTGCTGCTGCTCCGCTGTTAGGCCCAGGATGGGAACCTGGGCTTTTACTACAGCAGTGGCAGAAGTGCTGACAGGAGGAGCAGTGAACTGGTGCTGTGCAGGTGGTGCAGGAGGAGGCTTGGGGGACTGTGACATAGGAGGCATTTCTTGCTGATAAGGGGCAGGCTGGGAGGCTGGCCGTGGCTGAGGCTGAAGCTGAACATGAATGTGTGTCTGCTGGGGCTGTGCATGCTGTGTCTTCTGCTGTTGGCCTTGTGGAGCTGGTTGGGGGGACTCAGCAATCTGATTATGGACAATAAAGAGTTGGGGATGGGGCGAAGGTGTGCATGAACGAGTGGGGGTTTGAGTCTGTGTCTGAGAGGGAGGATGTGTTTGCTGTTGGTGGTGTGGTGACTGGATCTGCTGGCTCAGAGTGAGAGGCGAATGGGAAGGCTGGGGGCTTTCTGACACTGGGGGCACTGTGGTGTGAGTCGTCAAGCCCGGTGAAGGAGACATGCCCTGGATCCTCAGGGGCTGCTTATGTCCAGCAGAGGGTACCTGATAAAGTGGAACCACAAAATACTGGTATGCTTATTTGATTCAAGAATGCAGACAACATTTAAAAGCAGGAGGACATCAAGCAAAAAAACAACACACACTATACAAGTTCTGCATGCGCACTAGATTATAACTAAACCCTCTAAAACATGGTTTAAAATTGAGACTAGATACAAAACAGGGCTGGGCGATAAGGCTACCTTCAGGCTATGCATCTTTGCATTTAATAAACAAAACGCTCTCCAATATATAGAGAAGACATCTCAATGACATGATTATTTGGGGTTACTTTGCTTTAAACGTTTAATTTCTGCCACAGTACTAAGACAATGAATGTATTTCCCCCAAATACACTGAAACGCAAAAGATTATCAAACTATCGCCCAACCCAGACACCATAATACAAAAAAATTGGTAAAACGACACAAATAAGCAAAGTGTTAGACTTTAAAAACTAGAAGTTGAAGTTAGAAGCCCATTGATTTTTTTTCTAGCGTCTGAAGAAGATTAGATACAAAGAGGCACAATGATCATTGGGTGAGCAAAAAGAAAAACATTTAACAAAAGCAAGAAGTCAAGATCTGCGGGCCCGTGATGGTGAGGTAGAAGGTGATCCTAAGATTTCAGGGACTGGGGTCGGGGGAGCATGTAATCATCGCTGAGGGATCATTACACTTGTCAGACAAGGTTACAACGGGTGGTACTCAAGTACACGAGTCTAAATGAGAGGTGCAGGGTAGAGAGGTGTAGATTTTGTTGGTCAGTAATTGTTCAGTAATGCAGCAGATGAAAGTGAGTGGATTTCATTTGATTAAGTGAGGTGAGTTGATTGAATTTGATTGAGCTGAGTGTTAGTAAAAAGGTGAACAAGTTGCATTTGGCACCTTGGTAGCTGTTTTAACAAGCATGAGCATGGTATTATATTCTTTTACAAATTAAATACGGTGGAATGAATGAGAACATACCAAATTAGTTAAATGTTAGTTTAACTTTAAAAAAAAAAAAAAAAAGAGTGGACCCTTGATTGGTAGGCAACATTCTATTAAGGATGCACCAAGCAAATAATGTACGTAGCACAGTGGCTGACAGACAATACATCAGGACAACTGGAATGATTATGCCTTCACATACAACAGAGCAATGAAAGAATCAAGCTGAAGCTGCAAGCAAATGAGTAATTGTTAAGCTTTAGGAATTGCATAGCAACTTCAGTAGCCATGAAAGCATTGACTAATGCAGAAAGGTAGTAGAGAGCAGTGATGTGGAAAGGTTAAGATTCCCTAACATTGTGGCAGCAGCAGCAGCAACAAGTGGGTGGGGCTTGACATAAAGGGGCATTTCTACCTGCTTTACCACTGCTGTCATGTGGGAGGGGCCAGGGGAAGGACTGTGGCTCTGACCCACCCAAGAGTCAGTTAATTGGCTGTCATGGACAGCAGGGGCCGGAGCAGTGATGTTGTTGCTGCTGACGATTACAGACGCTGGTACGCCCACAGAGGGGGTTGACTCATTCTCTGATTGGTGGTGCTGCTCCTGATATGAGTGTATTTACCATTTCAGGACCAAGGAGGGAAGAAGGAAGGGGATTTGGAGGGAAAAGGGAGTAAAATAGTAAACCAAAGAGGTCAGACAAAGATGTCACTCCGTGCAGGTTATTCATTTAAGACAGTGTTAACTGTACACAAGTAAACCAAGGACTGGAACACTGACCTGTTGCAGGAACATCTGCAGGGACTCCTGACTCAGGATCATACTAGAGCCCTGGTTAGTGAAGAGTAACCTCCCTGGACTGTGCTGAGCCTGATGGGGGACCAGCCCCACTGCTGTGACAGATGAAGAGGTGGACACAGACATGGACGGAGAAGAGCAGGGTATTGTAGTAGCCGTGGACAAAGAAGATGGTTGCATGGCGAGGATAGAGGACTGCGATACATGCTGCTGAGTGGGATGAGCAGCTTGATCCGTAGAGCTACCAAGCACAGTAACACACTCTCCAGGCTGGCCTTGAGCCATGGTTGCTGCTCCTGTGATGTTGCTGCTGGGAACTCCACCTGGCTGGGGTTGTAGGGCTGGCTGAAGACTGACTGCGGGGCTTAGCCCTTCCACCTGACTAAGCATTGTCAGGGAGTTCTGGATTGGCATGCCCTGTATGACTGTCTGGGCATGACCTGAGACAGTATGTGTCTGTGTCTGACTTTGACTCTGAGCCAGTGAGACAGGCACCTGAAAGAGGGTTTGTGTGCCCATCTGGCCAGACTGGAGCTGAATGGGCCCAGAGAGGATGTGGGCAGCCCCGGGGTGGCCCTGTGAAGTCAACACCTGACCCAGGTTAATGTTCTGGTTTGCGGTTAAAATCTGGTTTGCAATGAGCTGTCCACCAGGCCCCTGACTGGTAATTATGTGGCCGCCAGGGTGTTGGGTCAGGATCTGTCCACCGGCTTGTAGCTGTGGCAGGAGAAACTGGTGGTTTTGACCTTGCAGAACAGTCTGAGAGGGAATAACGATGCTGCCTGATTGGTTTAACAAGTGCACACTGAGGGGTTTGCCAGATTGCTGTGCTCCTTGTTGTTTGAATAGGGTTTGTTGAAACTGAGGGCCTTGTGTTGTGCCTTGAGTATTCAACACAACATTAGAGCCTGGCTTTCCAGTCAGAAAGGTTACATTCTGCGCAGTGGAAACTGGAATTTGCTGCAACCCTAGTGTCTTGTGGGCATCATTTTGAGAAGGTTGGGATATTTGTTGTTGCTGCTGTTGTTGCTGTTTGAAGAGTTTGGGTTGAATGGCTCCCCCCTGAGGAGGTTTGGGCTGAATGGGTGTTGGCGTGCGCTGGATGATCACGTTCTGCATGATTTGGCCTTGATTCTGCACCTGGGGTCCAATTCCTGAACTAAGAGAGGTGCTGCCAAAGCCCACAAGCCCAGCAGGAGCAGTCATTGTGCAGCCGCTGCTGCTGTTTGTGCTGCTGACACAAACAGCTGGTCCATTTAAAGCTGGAGATCCCAAAGTGGTTTTGTTACCTTGGATCAGAAGTCCACCCCCTGAGCCTCCAAGTGCGGCCTGAGAACCAGTAGCTGATACCTCTGGCCCGGATTGGTGCAGCTGGTAGCCACTCATGGCTTTAGCCAGGATTTGCTGTCCAGATTGATTGATAGTCATGACTGTAGGCTGACCCACAACCTGAATCTGTCCAATACCTAAATGTCCCGACTGACTCCCATTAGGAAGAGCTTGAAGACTTGAAATGGGTTGAAGTGTCACGTTTCCAAGGCCCACAGGCTGCATAAATGGCTGAACACTAATGGCCTTATTCATCACCTGGGGTTGGAGCTGAAGGCCCTGCTGAGCCAGGACTGACCCCAGCATGTCTGCTGTGGCATTGGGAGGCGTAGCAGTGGTGCTTGGGGCTGACCCAGGGAAAATTGTTGCTGCTCCTCCAACACCTATGCCTACACCAACCGTGGTGCCTCCAGCCCCAGACAGGCTGGCATCAGGCAGTGTCTGAACCACCTGCGTAAGGCCTGGATTCCAAAGGAGCCCAGATCCAACTCAGCCTCTGCCTCCTGTAAACTTTGCTCAGTGATGTTTGCTTCAGCCAAGCTCTGCTGCAGGATGTCACACGGCTCGTGATTTGTCCCAATGCCATTGCTCCCACCTTCGCCACCAGGGGATCCTCCCAAGATGTCATCATCTTCCAGGAAGTCCAGGTCAACACTGACTCTGGGCAGGCCTGTCGGCTCATTGGCCGACAGCTGGACTGCAGGCTGGACCTCTGGAACATGGCCCTTTAAGTGAAGAAGGAAAGTCAAGAGGAGAGAAGTGAAACCAGGTGATTGGTGAATTTCTGATGAATATGCATGATGGCAACAATGCAAACATGAAAACCCCACAAAAACCTCTTGTCTCATTGCAGAAAATCAAAGATTGTAGAGTGTAGAACTGTTAGTGGAAAGGGAGGATATTTGGAGGTGCATGCTATCAGATGGATGGATAGGAAACAGAAGGAAAAGGATGGGGGATTTTACTCACCCCAGTGGTAGAGAAGAACGAGCTGGAGGGGTCACTCGAACCATCCAAAAGGTCGTCAGTGTCCAACTACAGACACACCCACCCAGGAAAGGACAGACAGAAACCAAAGGGACCCACACAGGCAGGGAAAAGCCACCAGGACAGAGAAACAAAAGGACCATCAAATAGAGGAGGAGGAGGGCAAGAAATGGACAGAACAAAGTCCAGAGAACCAAGATGGTAAAGAATCAGTAAAAATATAAGCGACAGGGGGGGGGGGTAATTATAAGAATAACACAGAGTTGGGAAGCGTTAGTAGTTGCATTTTGTTTTTAAAAGGAAAGGGAGGCTGAAAAAATTGATAGAGCCATCAATAAGTAGAAGAAGCAGTAAAATAGAAAATAGTGGGGACGTGGGTTTCAGTGTGCGTCAACGAGTAATCTGATCGTGACTTCAACACAGTTTGAGGCAAGCCTTAACTAAAATGTGCAGAAATAAGACCTCCTCACGACATCAAACCAGTGAACACACAGTTTAAAACTATCAATTGTGTCCTCTTTCTTTTTTCTGTCTTACTCACATGGGTCTCAGATCCATGAAGAAAGTCATTGAGAGCTTCTGGGTCACTGCAGGAGAAAACAACGTGATTTACAACAGAACAAGGCGAACCATGCAGCCGAACATTTAGCCAAAGAGAAAATACACTATGTCAATAATGACTTACCAAATTACATCTAGAAGGCACCTGCCGTCTTCATCATCCATGACAACTGTTAAGGATGAAATAGCCCAATGAGAATTTGTTCATTAAAAAGATCCTTGTCACAAATCAATAATATGTCAAATGTGTACAAACTAATTTACATTTCTATTTTATTTTGACATGAGTTAGTCACAGATAATGATGATGAATTATAAAACAGCAAAACCTTCATCAAATATCCTCTGCCTCTGATTGGAGTTATGTCATTTTGTTATACATGATTTGGAAATGTTTCATAGACGTACAGTTTTAATGACATTTGAGGGATTCTTCTCCACATTATTGTACTACTTTAGCATAGACTGTTCTTACAGAAAATAAACCTTTCTACTGCTGTGTTGATGCTGCAATACAAAATATGGTAGATAATAAAATAAATAAAACCCCAAAAACTACTGATGATACAGTATGGTCATTTTATGATTTAATTCAGTAGATATCGTACATGTTGCTCTTTAAAGAAATGTTTTTTTATTTAAATGTTGTTACTTTTTCTTTACAATTCCCGACACAAATTAAATATAAAGCTTCTGTATCGTAATTCAACTCTTTTTCCAATAATCCCTGTTTACATGATGTAAACTAGTGTAATGACACAAAACATTAGGCTACATTACTTTTGCTGCTTTGAGGTTAAAACAAGCCCAGTGGGATCAATGTCACCACTCATATCAATAATGCTACACACTGTGTGTGTTTTTAATTTTAATTTTAAAACTCTTTCCACAAGTAGAAGTGTAAATACCTTGTATTATTCTATGATTGTATTTTTTCACCCTTTATTTACCGGATGTAAATATGTTTGATTTTTAACTTCTTGTTATTTCTAATAATTATATTCCTGGTTCCTGTTTTCTAGAGCTGTTGAAACACAATAAAGTTCTTTATCTTTATTTATGAATGGACTTCCACAAACAAACACAAACCATATGTTGTGTTTCTTCCATAAAGCAGTCTACAATCGAAAACATGAATCAATTTTGAACCCTTTAACCAAACAACGTTTTGATATAATTATTGCAAACAGAAAAAAAAACAAAAAAAACATAGTGAAGAAGTGTTAAAGAGCTGAAACCTGAGTTGTGTAAGCTGTGTGCACAGAGCAGAAAACAACACACTGAAAACGCGCGGTTTTCACAGCAGACCTGCAGAAATACTTGCAGCTCGTCTTTGACCACAAAGTCTCACGAACTACAAAAACACTTTCACAACACAAAAAAAAAACCCCCATCAAGTCACCCAACATTTTTCCCTCGGATTTTACAAAGGGGTGGGGGGGGGGGAGCATATCCCTACCTGCTGCTCTGTGGAGCCATTGCTCGGTCACAGAAGAACCAGTACGCAGGATATGAATGGAAACCCTGCAAGCGGCTTGCTACATGCTACCTGCTGTTTTCACACACATTTTCTTGCATATTCCGCACGATTTTTTCCTCACAGTGTGCGATATTTAATGGCAACGAGAGACACTTGATGCTCTAATTAAATAAAAACGATTGATCTTCAAACCAGCATCCTGGCATTTTGATGCATCTGGGTTTGCATTTCGGTAGCCTAGCTGGTTAGCCTGCTAAGCCCAAGTAGCTATCAACAATATCCAGACGTACGAGCTAGCTTTAGCCTTTGACATTCAAAACAAACCACAGAGTGACACAGTTTTGACACTCGTACGGCACCGAAGAACCTCAACTCCACCAGGACTGAGTGCTAATGTCTGTTTAGGAGTGCAAACGCAATTGCGCAGCGAGCTATCTGTCCCCACTTGCAGGTAAAATATGAGTTAATGTAGGGACACTGTTGGATCAGGGGGGTATGTTTGGGAATTCGATGGAAAATGACTATTATTGCCGGGTCGTGCGGCAGTGTGGCGCTTCGATTGCGGCAGCGGTGCAGTTTGTGGCCTCGCTGCAGAACACAAATATTGCAGCTTTGTTGCAGTTATTAGGATAAATAGTGAAATAGCTACACCGTAACAAACTCACCCGAGACGATAGAGGTGCAGGCAGCGCGGGGTCTCCAGGACAGCCTCGCACGGGCTGCTGTACAGGACCCAACTACAGGCAGGAAACAGGAGACTTCCGTTTTGCCTGATCTAAATATGGGCATCGTCTTTATCGAATATTTATCGAATGTGGAGGTTTTTATTGAATGACTATGATAGGCGTGCAATGTGAAAACGAAAGCGCTGGCATGCTGAATTTAATTTTGTTTAGGCAAGGCGAGGTAAGTTTATTTATGGAGCACATTTCAACAACAAGGCAATTCAAAAGTGCTTCACACAAGACATCAAAAGCATCCTGACAGAGGAAAGAAACATTAAAATAGAACATTTAAAAAATAATAATAATAATAATAAAAATCACTGGAATTATTAAATCTGAACATATGTTCAAATAAAAATAATTAAATTGATTAATTGAAATAAATAAAGTAAAAATATAAAAAGGGTTAAAAGTTACAGTGCAGTTACAGTTAAAATCTTATTAAAATTGTTTAATGGTATATATATGTTCAAATGTAAAACATTTTGTTAAAACAATATCGAAGGTGGAAGTTTGCAGGAAAATTGTTCAGTTTTAATAAAGTATTTTAATGACAGTCGGTGTTCAAATATATTGCACTCGGTTACGTGTGTCTTGATCTGCTTTGAGGATGAGGCTTGGGAATTAAAAAGTGGTTATGTATCCGTGACATTTGTGCTCTAGTTAGCCTAATTAAACAAACATATTTCCCAGATATGTTTATTTAAAAAAACAGCTTTTGCTTATGTTCAAAACGTAGCATAAGTCTATATGAAATTTGTAAACAAGGGAAAAAAAAGACACCATCACAGTATGTAAAAAAAAACTTTGTGAGAATGTGAAGTTTGGGGACTTTTCCTCATCAAAGCTGTCTTCTGAAGCTTAAATCATACAGGACCTAACAAACCACTATGTATTTTTTTTAAAGAGTAATAAACACCAACATAGGACAGGAACAGCAAAGGCTTCATGTTTTTAAAAATCTGAACGCGTCGCTTTAGACAAAAATAGATTGTGCAATCAGTGGAGATTGTATGTAAATGTGTGTATTCCTAATCTCTTAATCGTAGTTAAATATTATGATAGCAGTGATTTATTCTGTGAGTGCTTTGCTTATCAGCACCTCAAACAACGTGTATCGTCATAGGAGCAAATATTTTTTTTTGTGCTTGAAGTAGAAATCGTGAGCTTGATTTAACATTTTAAAGTAAAGATTTAGACTGGGGTCAAGAACAATATAGTTTTCTATTTTAATAATAGACTGTAAATAATACTGGCAATCTCTATACAGTCTGATTGTTTTGTACCATGAGATGCATTCACGTCCCTGTCGAAAATAATGCAGTTATGGATTGGTAACGAGATAATAGGCAAACTGAGAATTTGTTGAATGGCAATATATTAAATGAGACTCAAAATAAACGTATTAATGATCGTAATTTAGACAGTATGAATGGTAACAATCGGCTGTTGTGTCACAGTTAATGAGTTAACTTAATTAAATCACTTTAAACAGTTACATAAAACAACACAGCCTCATTTGGGAGTTTGAATCCCCGATAAATTACGTCAAAACAAATGCTCACAAATGCTGTTGCTAGTAATTCACAGCAGTAGTTAGCTTCTATTTGTTAGTAGGCCTTAATGTTTTTTTATTTTATTTATTTATTTCTCTTTAAGAAACATTTCTGTGAATATTCACACATCGGAAATGTCGATGGCGGAGTTTACGGAAGAGCACCTGAACGCAGCCGTTTCCACTACAGTCACATGACGTAGGCGTTGGGTTTTGCTGATGACGTGACAAGGCGTACAAGAAAAAACCCTGCGCTACTAGCACCTGGTTAGCGAGTTTGTTGACTTTTGGTGTTCTCCTTGTTTCTCCTCGAAGTCAGCGCGGGTTACGAAGGAAAATGGACAACAGCGGGAAAGAAAAGGAGGCCATGGCTTTAATGGCCGAGGCCGAAAAGAAAATGAAATCCTCTCAGTCGTTTTTCGGAGCGATGTTTGGGTGAGTATGTGAGGGAGCTACTGCTGGGCTAAGCTAGCCAATGGACAGCTAGGCGGAAGGTGATAGATGATTTCAGACGTGATGGCAGGAGGAGAAACTATCCCACAACAGACAAACAGCAACACTGATCTGCTTTTATTCTATTATCAAACTGGATATGCTACTTTATATTCCTCCAGATCACTAACATGAGGATTACATTGTGTGGGAAAACAGCTGCATACAGTTGTGTGTTTGTGTGTGTGTGTGTGTGTGACTTAGTAATGGATCTGGTAGCTTCTTATGACATATTCAGGTTCATATGTAATCAGGACGAGTCATCTAACATTTCATTTGAGCAATAACACCGCAAGTACATTGTGTGTTATCTGAAATGTTGTTGCTGTAACGCCATCTGCTGGGAAACACTCACAAGGGCAGCTGGTCCATCACCATCATGTGTTTGAGTTGCATCAGATTTGTTATACAGCACTTAAAGTAACACAACAAAAACATGTAGTCCAAGTGATCATGCTGTATCAATGGGTTAGCCATGCGGGCTAATTTTTGATGACATTTAAGAAAGAAAAAAAAAAAAAGCATACAGGAAAATGGAGCACAAAAAACATGGACACAAGAACAGTTTAAAACATAACACATACGCATGGAAGCAATTGATAAAGCAGCACACAGACGTAAAATAAAAATGTGTAACATATAGCGCATTTAAATACATGAGCATTTAAACACAGACAAAAGGACCATGCACAGACAAGGAGCATATATAAACACAGACAAGGAGCGTATATAAACACAGACAAGGAGGATATATAAACACAGACAAGGAGCGTATATAAACACAGACGAGGAGCGTATATAAGCACAGACAAGGAGCGTATATAAACACAGACGAGGAGCATATATAAACACAGACGAGGAGCGTATATAAACACAGACGAGGAGCGTATATAAGCACAGACAAGGAGCGTATATAAACACAGACGAGGAGGATATATAAACACAGACAAGGAGTGTATATAAGCACAGACAAGGAGCATATATAAGCACAGACAAGGAGCATATATTAACACAGACGAGGAGGATATATAAACACAAACAAGGAGCGTATATAAACACAGACGAGGAGCATATATAAACACAGACGAGGAGGATATATAAACACAGACGAGGAGCATATATAAACACAGACAAGGAGCGTATATAAACACAGACGAGGAGGATATATAAACACAGACAAGGAGCGTATATAAACACAGACAAGGAGCATATATAAGCACAGACAAGGAGCATATATTAACACAGACGAGGAGGATATATAAACACAAACAAGGAGCGTATATAAACACAGACGAGGAGCATATATAAACACAGACGAGGAGGATATATAAACACAGACGAGGAGCATATATAAACACAGACAAGGAGCGTATATAAACACAGACGAGGAGCGTATATAAACACAGACAAGGAGCGTATATAAACACAGACGAGGAGCGTATATAAACACAGACAAGGAGGATATATAAACACAGACGAGGAGCGTATATAAACACAGACGAGGAGCGTATATAAACACAGACGAGGAGCGTATATAAACACAGACAAAGAGCATATATAAACACAGACGAGGAGCGTATATAAGCACAGACTACAAGTAAAGACAGAGTAAATTAATCCAGATTATGGCAGCATGTCTGATTGTTTGTGTATGTAAACAACAGCCATGTGTAGCAATAGTTGTTATATGGTAAAGCAGACGATTGAAGTGTCTTTACTTTTGAGTTCTTTGTCTTACAACCGGTTGTTTATAATTTTGTTAATTAAGTGAAACATTTTTTTTTATCGATATCAATTAAAAATGTCATAATGATAGATAGATAGATAGATAGATAGATACTTTATTGATCCCGAGGGAAATTCAAAGCATCCAGTAGCAGGTTACAAAGACGTACATGACATGAAACATTTGTTACATTTGCAGATAGTGCAGAGTTATCAAAAACAGAGATTAAATAACAGGCAGTGCAAACATTAAATTAAAGGTGCAATTTAAGTAATTGAGGTTCTCATTAAAGTATCCAACTAGAGGCTGACTCTTGGGACAGCTGTGCAGATGGGAAATGGAAGATTTAGTCCAAGTGTGTGCCTTCCCCCTGCCATAACCGTGAGGTGTTGTACAGACGTATGGCCAGGGGGACAAAAGAGTTCTTAAGTTCATTGCAGTGAGGTGGAATATGTATTTTTCAGAGTCAGTAAAGCACAAGATTAAAGTAAGTTTACTGATGGATGTGGATAATATGAGCAATTCATTTTCATGCTATCGGTAATATAAAATAAGTTTCGCACAATATTGACCAGCGATGCATATTTTATATGTCCTGATTTTGCACAATATTGCATATTAGTTAAGAAAAAAAAAATCCCTATTTTAGCATTGGGTTATTATTGGCTTATCGCTGTTGTGTCCTCTACTGGTAATTTTCCGTATCACTCAGCAATACTCTGCACATGTTTGTGCACTAATCACATGTGCTGTCACACAGGGGTTCCTCGAAGATGGAAGAGGCCTGTGACATGTATGTGAGGGCAGCCAACATGTTCAAAATGGCCAAAAATTGGTGTGGTAAGAGTTTTTCATTACAGGCAGAATAAGCAAGTGTAGTTAATGTCCTCTCCCTTGCCAAGGCCTGCAAAGTCTATTATCCCTCTAACATGAAATATTATCCTTTCAGCTGCAGGAAATGCATTCTCCCAGGCTGCTCTCCTTCACCTCCAGATGCAGAGCAAACATGATGCAGCAACTAACTTCATAGATGCTGGAAATGCCTTCAAAAAAGCAGATCCACAAGGTAATAATTACTCTAAACAGACCATGGAGTATTTAGCTGTTGAAGCTCACGTGTAACACTTTTTTTACAAGCTGCCCTACCTTGCTCATCTGATTTTATTAAGGTCTTTTAGAAAAAGTGCCTTTACAGCACTTTTCATGCTACGTAATATTTCATGATGACGG